ACCCTTTGGAGGTCATCGTAGACCCCTAGGGGTCAAGACCACTATGGGAATCAGTGCTATAGATCTATGGATTTTTTAAACTTTTTTACTTATGGCTAACGTCTCAAAACTTAACATGACTAAAACTTTCGAAAACATTTTACCTTTCAGAAAATTTATATATTTTTCATTTGTATTATCAAATCTTCAACAGTACACTTCATACATAACTCAACAAAGTAGCCATTCCAAAGGAACAGCACAATGTTTCTAAAATTTTTAACTTAATCTTCTAGTGTTTTCAATGGAAAATATAGCATTTTAAATTTCAAGTCCAAGATTATATAAATTTTTATATTTTATTTACTTATTATCTTATTTCGATTTTAAACAAGTTCTTTTAAAATTTGTTAATAATGTATTTTTTATTTATTTCTAATAGTTTTGTCAGCTTAATTATTCCTTTATTATTCAAAAGTATTGAAACCAGATTATAATAACTATCCTCTAATACAGGGGTCGGCAACCTATGGCAAGCGGTACAATTCTCCATGGCACGCTGCACTACTCTACAAATTTGTCAATTCTTGAGTGGATGGAAGTAGATAAATCTGTAATGGATTATGGAGGAAATAAAGTTATAAACTTATAAGGTATTACAAAAAAACCTGAAAGATAACTCTAATGATAAATTTACAGCTATTTTGTAAATTATTGAATGTCATTGCTGGGAAGATTTAATTGCTTGAAGATAGAAAATTGCATGTACTCTGCTTTTCTCTTTTGGTTCTACATATCTTATGGTAAGTGAAAAAAAATCTTTCCTCATATGAAAAATATTTCGTGTCCGCAAAGAAACTGTTTAACTAAATGCTTAGAATTGTGTCAAATTAAAAATCACAAATTATAACCCTGATTATGAGATATGAAAAGAGAGAGAGAGAGCAATGTGCAAAAAAAGCACTAAGTTTGCATTAAAAATTTATTAATCATTTTTTTAAAACTATAATGATGGGAAATACTTATATTTTACTTTGTCTAACTTCTTATTTTAATAAATATGTTAAAAAATACATAATATATGTACAATTTTAATTTTTTTGATGAAAGTTATATTTTATGCTGCTTATTTTTATGTTAAGAAATATCTTTAAATGATGCAAAATAAAAAAATAATAAAACTATAAATAATCTATATTATTGACCTCTATTCTCAAACTTTACATGAATTATTGCGTGAATTGAATTCTTTCAAAATGTTCCACTATGTGGCATGCTGAATCATATTGGTAGATTGGCTTGGAACACCACAGCTAAAAGGTTGCTGACCCCTGCTCTAATGTGTATTAAGTGCTTAAATTATAATTAGAATCTTTATTTATTTCATAATTTACAAAATCAAAGTGGTCTGTATGCATACATTAAAAGGTAAGTAATACATTCCTATAGGCATTAAAAACTAACTAAAAATTGGAAGAAGGCCTTACCAAATGAATAAGTTTTATGACTTCAGAGAGAGCATCTCTCCATCTAGCAGTTTCTGCTCTGTGTAATGCATCTTGCTTTTGTAGCAGATGCAGATAATCTTCTTTGGTAAAGCTGGAAGGGCTGTATGCAAAGAAACAATGTCTATTAATAATAAAACATTCCTATTAATATATGTGATAAATTTTTAAAATTAAAAAAAGTTACATTCCATTGTTAGATTTTTATAAAATGTTTCTATCTTTCAAAAAAAGTAATAAATACAAGCAATATTGAAAACCATATCATGTATCATGGAAGGGTGCATTGCAAAATAAATGACCTTTTATTTACTTTTCAGAAAATCTACACATCTCAAGACTGTTTTTTATATCTCAAAACAAGATTTCAGTTCTGATGGAATTGCATAAAATTTTGCATGTAATTTAAAAATATTTTAGACATTTCATTTAAATACTCCTTTTGAAGCTCAGTGGCTGAGTGAATAGTGCATCGCGCTTTCACACCCCAGGTCCGAGGTTTAAACTCCAAGCTGGGCAAGGACGACTCAGCTTTTCATCCCTTCAGTGGTTTGATAAATGAGTACCAAGCTTGTTAGGGAACTTAACTGGGAGTTTTGCATCAGACTGACCACCTGACCAGAACATCTGCTCATGCACTTCAGGGCCCAAGATCACATATACTGAATTGGACACAGTAGGCTTTGGCCTTCATGGACTATTATGCCACTGAGTAATGTTATACTTCTTTCACTAAATTCTGAGCATACAATTACCGCATTAGCTGCAACTTTGTGAACAAGCAAACATGTAAAGGTTATTTAATAGAAAGCTTTATGGTAAACAAAATAATGACTATAACATGTTTAAACAAAAAACACAATCTATTAAAGATTCATTTCAATTCAGAGCCATGCATTTAATTAAAAAATTTTATTCCAATTATTATACATCACTTAATGATCTGAATCTGATATCCAATTACATATAAATGATTAGCAGGCAAAATGATATGAGATATGTGATCTATGCACACATTATTATCAATCATTATAAAACATGATTACTTCATTATAATTCAGATTACAAATATTTTATTCTTCATAGTCTGCATTAAAGATAGCATGATTATTAGATATTCTTAAGACAAGTTGGCATATTTCTATGTTTAATATTAAGACAAGAAAAAAAAAAAAGGTTATATGGATAATAGAAGCACATACAGTGTCATAAAATTATCTAGTTTTCTTACTTGTCAGGATATTCCAAGGCCGCAGGAGGTACTTGTTTGGAACTTTGATCTTCCAATGACCATAGTTTATAAAATAGCAACATGTTTAAAAATAGGAGAATTACTAACCTAAAAAATTAAATTAAATAGTTATATTATTAAATAACAAATTAAAATACATTAAAAATATATTTTACAAAAATCATTAAAAAAGTCATGGTTACAATATAATTAATAAATGTATCACTAAATATTAAAGAAATCAGTACAATATTGTAGGAAATGCTGTTGCTTAAAAATCAAGAATTGATTCTGATAAGATTTATACAATATGTCTAACAAAAATAAATATAATGTTGTCAACAATATTTTCCCAAATGATAAAATTTGATTAATTTGTCCTTTAATTCCATTTTAAATATCACACATAGCTCCTCGACTTATAATGACTAATACTAGAAAATAAAAATAAGAGTTTTGCTCCTAATTTTATTTTAAACTGGACAAAAATAAACATACATACATACATTAAAAACAGGTTTTATAAAATAAAAATGTTACATTGACATATTACTAACACATGCAATTGTAAATAATATTCACATATTATTAATGATTTTTAAAAAGAAAAATTTAGTAAACATACGTTATAAGAATAACACGGATTACGATGTCTGGAGTTGATGAGAAAGAAGCTAAATCCATACCAGAAATTGAAGAACCTAAATAAATAAAATTATACAATCATATGCAAAAACAAATTGTTATGGTTGTCTTAATGCTACATTTTAAGCAAAATACAGTTCTGAAATTCATGATCACGAGGGAAAAAATAATAAAAAAAATCTGTTAACTAAAATATTTTGATAGATTAAAAATATTTAACTTTTTTTCCCATTGAAAGCAATAAAAAGGGTAATATATTGCAATAGATCTCTGTCCATTTGATTAAAAATCTTAATCTTAGTTTTATGAAAAAAAATAATAATGTATTTTCCTAAGGTATTTTTGCACCACACCTAACACATTAAATAATTTTTTTGAAAAAAATTACACCAGGAAAACAGATTATTCCATTTAAAATAACCCCACCAAAATCAATAATTCAGACAATTCTTATTACAAAAAATATTTTTTAAAATAAACTCAATAAATAATGCCTTTATGCACATTTTAATAATGAAAGGTACTAATTATATTACATGTTTAATTCAATACATTTAAGGATATTAATCCAAAGGCTAATGTAAAAATACCATGTATATAGGCCAAAAACTAACACAGATTTTCATATAAATATTAGAAAACAATATTAGAGAATTACTTAAAAGGAAAAAGGTAATATAGAAAAATTCATAAGTCTACTTTAAGTTAAATTAGAGAGAGTATTAAAGTAAAAATTGAAATCTAGACCTAGTAGTAAAAAAATGACCAAAGAAATGAATGAATGCTATTTCAATATTAAAATAGAGTCCACGATAAACTATTGACTTAAGACCAAGTTTAAATAAACTGGCTACTTAGATACAATATAGCTAAATATTAATATTGGTTAATGAATACTATGACATATGCTAATTGAATATATCATAGATCCATAGTGATTAATCAATAACATGGAAACTTGTTACTCAGTTAAAAGATTTAATTATTTTAAAAACAAATATATGATGATTAATAAAAAAATCTTACAATTATTTTTCACAAATTATAAGAAAATTTTAAAGAATATTTTAAACAAATGATTTCAAAGATTGTACGAAAATCTCAATACCTATATTTCTAACAGTTGGTTGCCTCTGTAGAATTCTAGGAGTGTCTTTCAAGGTTTCACATTTAATTGGATCAAACTTCATGCGCTTCCGCCTGCGAGGTTTTTTGCTTATAATTTGTTGACTAGAAATTTCAGCTTCTTTTTGAAGAGCATTTGCTACAAAAATTATTCAATATTGATATCTATTAAGTGCAATACACAAAAATATATGTTTCACTATTTTGAGTTTTAGATGTCCATGCATTATATTTCTGCCTCCCCCCTCCCCGAAAATGAAGTATCATGAAACAAGTAATATAAATTTTTTTTTATTTAGTTACTTTTTATTAAATAATTACAATTTATATAAAAATGTATATATTTATATTAATCATAAAAAATTAAGTGCAAAATAGAAAGCAATTTTCCATTTTCCTTCCTTTTTATGGTTTTGGACTATTCTTTTTGTTTGTTACTATTTATTCATCAATTAAATTTAATTATTCCTATAAAATAGTATAGTAAAAAGAAATCACATTCTCAGAAATTAGGCTATCCCAAGTGGGATTCGAACTCATGACCTTTGGATTAGATGTCCAATGCACTATCCATTGTGCTGCAGGGACACAACGAGCGTCGTTCCTTTTTCATGTATGGTGTTGGATTATTATTTTTGTTTGTTACTATTTATTCATTAATTACACTTAATTAATGAATTAATATTTTAAAAAAACTGTATTAACATCAAATAACATCCACTACAAGTTTTAAAAAATGCATTTGAACTTGAGTGGATGAATAAAAAGTATTTTATTACTGATTGAAAATTTGAGCAAGATTTGAGGTGATGTACATAAATATATATAGGGAGAGTGTGAACTAATAGTAGGAATTGAAAATTGACAGTTTTTATTGAAATTAAACATTTGTTAAACTCATACACAGATAATGAAGTAATTACAAAAATTTAAAGCCATGAAATCCATCAATGGCTAATAAATGCACACATCGAATGTTAAAATCAGTAACTGTAATCCTTCCAGTAGTGATGTATGGCTAAATATGTTAACGTAAGGAGTAATGAAAATCTTGAATCTCATCTCTACTTGCTTGATTAAGAGTTTAAAGATAATTTATCACATATTTCAACATTAAAGTTGCACTATTTTATAGAAACATTTCTTAAACATGTCACTCTTTCCATTTTATAAAAGACTTCAATTAGTTAGCCATTAAAAGAAAATTTTAGGCATCAATCTACAACTTTTCCAGGATTATGAGAAAGGATGAAAGGGAGTCTCTATGCATGGATGGGTTGCATCGATGTGAGATATGTTAAGAGAACTTCATCAACAGTTTCACAGCTGCTGGAGTATGAAGATCTTAGCCAAAACAAAAGTGCATTTTTATGTTTCTTTAGGTTAAAAATATAGTTAAAAATCAAGCAGCATTATTTTTTTTGCATCAAATTTTCCATTAAATTGCACAAATATTCAAGGGAGGTTTTCAATATGATATATCAAGTTTACAAGGACAAAGCCATGCCTAATACATTTATTCTTGAGAGGCTAAAAAAATTCAACAAGAGCAAGAAAGACATTGAAAATGAACAACAAGCTGAGATCAATCTCCACTGATGAAAATATGACCAAAATTTGAGATCTTTCTGTAATATAAACTTTCCAAAATGCTTTTATAAGAAGTTTACATTTTCAGCTACTAATTATAAACGAATTTAAATATATAGGTTAGCTCTTTATTTAATAAATATATAATACATTTTTCTTTTGTTTGTTAATTACACAGAACTGATTCCAGTTTTAATAAATTATACAGATGTGAACTAAATGACAATTATAAGTAAAAATAAGTTAAATAGACAAGTAATGGTGTATTATAATGGTCACAAGTCAAAGACTTTTGCATCTAGCATTATTTATGCATTTTAAAATGATGCATTACAAAAGTATAGAGTTTTAAAAACTTTGGTAACTTGAAACAAAAACAAAAAAAAACTTTATAAAACATACATAAAATGACAGATTCAGCTAATAAAACATTGTATAGCAGCATTCAATTTACTGGTTATAAAAGTTACTGACAATCAACTTTATTTTAAACTGTACTTAAACAAATTACTTACCTAAATCTGTGGCAAAATCAGCTAATCCTGGCATTGCACTTTTTTCTATTAGTGCTGGGTAGGGGGGAAAAATACATTACACAATTAGAATGGTATAATGTCAACATTAAAATATTAATGTTGTGAGAAATGTGATATTTCTTCACAAATCATCATCACATATATTTTAAAAGCATAAAATTTAAATTAAATGTTAAGCATACATGTTGGAGAAAAGACATTTGCATCATATTTATATAGTCATCTCATTCTTAGTGGTTATAATAACATATTTTATTCAAAGGTTTATTTCTGTTAGTTAAATAACATTTTTATGATTTTATTTTAAGAAGTAACAAAAATTGAATAGTACTTGATACTTTCTTTTAAATCAAACTATTACTTATTTATCAAATTATTATTACAGTTTCCAGTTGATCAAATTCCTTATTGTTTTTTCATATACTTTAAAATCCTCAACACCAATCCCTTAGACAACCATGGAACTAAGCTAATACATTATGTGAAACTTGTAGTGCTTAAATATCTTGATATGAACTTGAATAGTAGTATTAAAGAAAATCAAATATACATTTAAAAGATAACCAATTAAGATTAAAACAATTGTAATATGATTAGAGTAATGTCTGATATAAAAGAAGCGCATCATATATCTTAGTTTTCCATTAGTAACTGTGAATGTATACACAGTTTTTGCATTAAGAACAATTAAGATAAGAAATCTACTTTCACGTAAGTAATTTATAAGCAGTGTGACTTATGGTACAACAAACTGATGCTATACATTTACTCTTCTTATACCTGGAATGTCAACATTTTTTTACTAAATAAAGTTTAAAGTGTTTACTTTTCTATATTTTTAAAATTAAACTAAACTGCATCTATAAGAGCTTGCAAGAATTTCCTTATGATATAAAATGCTATGTGCTCATACTGTATGATACTTATAATTTATTGATAAAAAAATAATTATCTGATGATATACATTAAAAAATACCATATTATTATAGAAAATAAGAATTTTATTGGGAAAAAATTTATGTTAAGGCAAAGACATTAAAAATCAAATATTCAACTTATGAGCAATTCTGTTTTTAATTCTTCATTGTATGTTTTAATTTTCCAATTATAATACTCTTTCATGCAAAACATATAACACCATACAAGCAAGCATGTAAGAAATTATTATTTTTATTATAAAATATATAATTATTTAGTTAACCAGATAGTAAATTTACAGAAACTGAGTATTTTACTTCATGCAAAATATGCTAAACATATTTTTTAAAACATATATAAAATGCTACCTTTTATATATAACATTCATAAAAGCTCATTTAATTATATTATCAAGGTATTTTATTATGTTTCTAAGAATAGAACACAATTTGAAATTAAAGGTTTTAATAAAAAAATACCTCAAAATCATTTCAAAAATTTATTTAAAATACAGTGAACATAATATTCCATTATCAATTAAAATCTATAAGAGAACTAATTGAAATCTTACATTTCACTAAGCCCCATACAGATTTCTTGTAACGTACACAACCAGAAATCCGCAAACGACACTCCTTTTTGGAAACTCTTGTCAAACAGTAGACAGATTTTACAGTAAAAGCATCACTGTAAGGTATACCAGTATTTACAACATCACAGTCCACAGTATATACTTGTCCAGGTTTACTGTGTTTCAGTAACCTCTGAAAAAATTATGTGTATATAAGGAGTGTGACAATACAATATTTCAAACTATGACTTTAAATTATAAGAATTTATCTAAACAGAAGGCATTCTTTCATTAAAAATGAATAGACAGTATAAATTTAAAACAAAGATTCGTTTAACTAAAAAAGAAAGTCAGGGAAAGAAATTCTAGTCATAAAACACAACTTTTATATCAAATATAACATATCAACTCCATTTTTAAAAAATGTTGGAGCATAGAAATTAAATTTGAGAATATAAGGTTTATTTATGTTTTGTATAAGAATTGCACCACACATAAATTTAGACAAATTTCTTTAAAATAAAATTACTTTCTTTTTTTAAAAAAAAATATTTTTAAAATGTAAAAGAAATAAGAAAATTTCACACACTTTTTTATATTAAAAATTAGCTTAGAGTCAGGAACAAATAATGGATATGGTATTTTTAACTGAGCTAGGAATACTTTCTTCACTACAGAGCCAAAAATTCTTTATAGTTGAGAAAAACCGTAAGCTTTTTTTTATTATTATTAATTATAAATTGTAGTATGGACAGTTTTAAAATTTTTTTTAATATCAGAATTTTCATGTGTGTGTAAGCTCACCACATATTCAAAATTTGTTTTATAATAATCATTATGAGCTTGAACTGCATAATATTTGAGCCTCTCTATAGAAAAATAAATTTGTAGTGCCTTTTGGAATTGAAGTAAGGAAAATTTAAAGATTCAATTTCTGAATAACAAAAGACTAAATGGTTATTATAATTTTTTACTTAAATTTAGTATATAAAAGACAGTGTGTACTCATTATGTAATAACAAACCAAAAATATAATTTAAGACATGATTTAGACATATGTAACTATTTTATATATAAAACTGTCAGTATACTAAAAATTGAAATTAGATGTCTCCAAAACTGTATTTTAACTATGCCTTTTGTTCTAAGGCAGAAATAACACATACACACACATATTTTATTTAATCTATGGTCAGATTACGCAAAAGATGTAAGATACCTTTTCTTTCTTTTCAATTAATATGAACAAAATTACATAAAATATGAAAAACTAAGAAACTAATCATTATTATTTTTTAAATAATTTAATATTTTACATAACTTATATTTTTTCTTCCACAAAATCAAATATTTCCATTTCTCTTTCATGGTGTAATTCTCCATAAATATTAATTTATAGAGCATATTTTTTTTAGATTCCACATAGTAGGTAGTAATATAATTCCACTACTCTTGAAAATTCTAAATAACAATTATCAAAGTAAATTTCCTCAGTGTTTCCACTATGTTGCCATAACTAGTTGTATGAATAAAAAATGTATAGTGTGTTCATCTTCATCTCTGGATTTTTTATTCAAACAAGATATGTCTATACAAAAGAATGTAACTTTTCATACATCAACTTTTAAATGATCCCAAAATATAATTAAAATTTAATGAGAGGAGATTACGAAATGTTGAGGCCCGTAAATTAAATGTTGATTGACTTACTTGAGTTTCTGTAGTTTGAGCACTCTTTGCCATTGAGTGGTTTAAAGTAAGAGTATAAGTAACTTGTCTCATCTTCAAATCGAATTCAGGACACAACTGCCAAGGACTCTCCATTATATCTGAATAGATAAATATAAATATATTAATATAAATCTAAAAGTTCGTTAACAGATATTTTTCTTTAAAAATTTATGATAATGTTTCCAATTATGATGTACTGACGCCACTATTTATTTAGGATTAACTACCACTATCTAATAACA